AGGTTTTCCTAAATTCTTTCAAACAAGCAGCATCTGGACTTGTTGCTTGATAGCCCCATACCTCTCGTTAAGTAATACACAGAAACAAACACAGAGAGGCAGCCAAAATAAGGAGACAAAGAAACAGGTCCCAAATGAAAGAACAGAACAAAACTCCAGGAAAAGAACTAAGCGAAATGGAGAGATAAGCAACCTAACAGATGCTGAGTTCAAAACACTGCTTATAAGGATGCTCAATAAACTTAGTGAGGGCCTCAAGAGCATTAAAAAAGACCAGTCAGAAATGAAGGAGGCACTAACTGAAATAAAGAATAATGTACACAGATTCAATAGTAGAGTAGGTAAGGCAAAGAAGCAAACCATTGATTTGGAACACAAGGAAGCAAAAAAACACCCAATCAGAACAGCAAAAAGAAAACAGAATCCAAAAAAATGAGGATAGTGTAAGGAGCCTCTGGGACAACTTTAAGCGTCCCAACATTCGCATCTTGGGGGTGCCAGAAGGAGAAGAGAGAGAACAAGAAATCAAAAACCTATTTGAAACAATAATGGCAGAAAACTTCCCTAACTTGGTGACGGAAACAGACATACAAGTCCAGGAAGCACAGAGTCCCAAACAAGATGAACCTCAAGAGGCCCACACCAAGACACATCATCATCAAAGTGCAAAAGGTTCAAGACAAAGAGAGAATCTTAAAAGCAGCAAGAGAAAAGCAGTTAGTCACTTACAAGGGCGTTCCCATAAGACTGACAGCTGATTTCTCAAAAGAAACTTTCCGGGCCAGAAGAGAATGGCAAGAAATATTCAGAGTGATGAAAAGCAAGAACCTACAACCAAGATTACTCTATCCTGCAAAGCTGTCATTTAGAATCGATGGCCATATAAAGAGTTTCCCAGACAAGAAAAAGTTAAAGGAGTTTATCACCACCAAACCGTTATTACATGAAATGTTGAAGGGTCTTTTTGAAGAAAAAGATAAAATATATGAACAAACAAAATGGCAATGAATACATATCTATCAACAATGGAATCTACAAAATGAACAGGCAGAACAGAAACATTCTCATATATACACAGAACATTTTGTTGGTTGCCAGATGGGAGGGAGGTTGGGGGAATGGGTGAAAAAGGTGAAGGGATTAAGAAGAACAAACTGGTTGCTAGACTGACAAACCTCAAAGAGAAGGGGGTTGGGGGGTGGGAAGAAATAAACCAAAGAACTTATATGCATAACCAATGGACACAGACAACAGTGTGGGAAAAGGCGGGAGGGAGGTGGGAGTGGGGAGGAGGGGGTCAATGGGGGAAATATGAGGAACATCTGTAATACATTCAACAATAAAGATATAAATAAATAAATAAATAAAAACATATATGTAATTATACACACATCCATGAGATAATTCATTTTGATTAAGAACATAAAATTCGATGTGGCTATCAAGAAATAAAGAAAATCTTTTGAACCCTAAATTATTAAATATTTTTTTAGAGAGCAATATAGTGTCAGGCATTCAAGTAATACTTATGAAGGAAATGCACAGTGATTAAAAGCATGGACTCTGGACTCGAGCATTGGCTCTGTCTATTAGCCATGTTTACGTGGGTAAATTAACCTCTCTGTGCCTAAATTTCCATATATAGAGTAGAGATAATAGCAGTCTATATCTTAAATTATAATTAAATGACTTAATATATGTAAAATTACTTAGTACAGTGACTTGCACATAGTAGATGCTCAATAAATATTAACTATGAAAATAATTTAGCAGCAGGAGGAACAAAGGGAGAAAACTGAATAAAATGGCTGTGATAGTATTATGTCACTCCTGTGTTCAAAAAGATTCAATGGTATCCCACTGACTATTGAATTAAGTATAAAAGCCTCAGTTTCACATTTTAGGATACAGGGCTACCCTTCAAAACCATATCAACTAATAGTTTTCAAATTAAAGCTCACAAAATGTCACTACCATTTTTTCCTCTCCCAAGATCATAACGACCCTGACACTTCCATTTATGGAATTAAGGCAGACTAGATAAGGTGAAAATTCTCTTGCAATAAAACACATAGAAATGCCGGATAAAAACCAACAAACATCCTTTAAAAAAACTACTCTTTTATTTTTTTATCCTCACCCGAGGACATTTTTTTCCATATTTTTTTCAGATAGAGTTGGATGGAGAGAGAGGAAGAGAGAGAGAGAGAAACATCGACGTGAAAGGGACACATCGAGTGGCTGCCACCTGCACGACCAACCAGGGCTGGGGACAAACCGCAACTGAGGTACGCGCCCCCAGCAGAAACTGAACCCGAGTCTCTCTGGACCACAGGTTGACACTCTAACTGCTGAGCCAAACCGGCCAGGGCAACAGCTAAACTCTTAAGAAAGTACAGGAAGCCCTGGCCGGTTTGGCTCAGTGGTTAGGGTGTCAGCCCCCAGACTAAAGGGTCCATAGCTCGATTCTTGGTCAAAGGCACATACCTAGGTTGCAGGTTGATCCCTGGCCCTGGTACAGGTGGTACAAGAGGCAACCAATCAATGGCTGTGTCTCTCTTGGGTTGATGTTTCTCTCTCTCTCTCTTTCCCCCTCCCTCCCTTCCACTCTCTAAATATCTGAAAATTATCCTAGGATGAGGATTAACAACAACAACAACAAAAAAGAAATAAGGGAAATCTCCAAGAGTCATCACAAAAAGGGAACCAAAAGTCAGGTTGATCAGTATAAACCTGTTGTGACTACCCAATAGGTACATGCCCAAGTTCTCAAACAAGGGCACTGTTATAACAGCCACAGAGTGTCAGGAGGCTCAGGCAGCTCAGGCCTCAGTAAGAAAGGGAGTTAGAATCGAGACTCCTATGTAATGTAAAAGCCCCCACTGAAAAGGTGGACTAAAAAGCCAAAAATCTTCTATCTGCACAGGGAGATAAGAAGGAAACTTGAAAATAAAATAGTACTGGCTCTGCATGGTTCATGAACCCTTTAGGAGAGAAATTAACATTAAAAAGTAGTTCCAAACTGATAATACTCTGGGTACCTGACCTAAATGAAATGAACACTATGCAGAAGAGATACATCTTCAACTTAGGCCCCTAATGAGTCCCATAGATAAAATCTTATTTAAGATAATCATAATCTAAAATTACAGAACACATGTAATATAATCTTTAAAACTGAAAACTGAATGGACAAATTAGACAAAGATTAGATATAGATGAAGAGAGAATTATTGGGCTGGGATACTGATCTAAAAAAATTACATAGAAGGCAGCACTGAGAGATAACTGATGGATAATATAAAATAGAGGTTAAGAGACATGAAGAATAGATGAAGGGCCCTGGCCAGGTTGGCTCAGTGGTTGAGCATCGGCCTGCGGACCAGAGAGTCCCGGGTTCGGTTTCTGCTAGGGGCACGTACCACACACACACACACAAAAATAGATGAAGGAAGGCCTAATGTATAGTTTATAGAAGTTCCAGAAGGAGAAGACAAAGGACATGGAAAAGAGGTAATCAATATTAAGAGAAATAATGACTGAAAAATTTTCAGAAATTATGCCAAACATGAATTTCATATCACATAGCATAAATAAAAATAAGTTCACATTTTGATACACAATACTGAAATAAGAACATGAAAAGACAAAAAGAGAATTTTAAAAAGAATCAGAGAAGAAAATATTGCCTACAAATGAAAAACGATTATATTGAGAACAGACTTCTTAAAAGTGACAACTGAAAATAGTATTCCATTGTCTTCTGACTTTTTTTTTCAATCCTCACCTGAGAATATTTTTACATTTATTTTCAGAAAGAGTTGGGGAGGGGGGTGGAGAGAGAGAGAGAGAGAGAGAGATCGATTGGTTGCCTCCTGCACAATCCCAACTGGGGCCGGGGATGAACTGCAACCAAGGGGAAACAAAGGAATACTATAATTACAAAACAGGCAAAGAATATGAATTGAGAAATGACAAATACATAAATGGCCAGTGAGCTCTGGAAATTGACAAAGAGGTTAGGTAGGAGGGGAGGGCAGCGATGTGATGTGAAGGGAAGCTAGAGTGGATGGGAGGATGAACAAGAAAAGGGGCAAGGCCCAGTGGAAAGGGCAGAGGGCTGGGAGGGGGTGGGGCCTAGAAATGAAGGATGTTCTGGGCCAACAGAGAGAACTGACTGTTCCAGGGGCAGAGCTACCCGGGGCAACTGACACTGAGGCCCAACCAGGGAGAGGCGAGGCCAAGGCCTGGGCCTAACTAACCCTAGAGACTAGGGGGCTTGTCTCAGCTGAGGAGGGAAAAGCCCTAAGTAGCCGAGGGGGGTTTTTATGTTTGTTTTTTAGTCCTTAGTTTTCCATTTATTTTTTGATAGAGTGGAAGGAGGGGGAAGAGAGAAACATCAATGTGAGAGAGATACATCCATTGGCTGCCTCCTGCATGACCCAAACCAAGGCTGGGGATCAAATCTGCAATCCTTCTGTCAGAGAGATGATACTCTAACGGCATTGCAGGTTGAACGACCCTTTCACAGGGGTCGCCTAAGACATAACAGTAGCAAAATTACAGTTATGAAGTAGCAACAAAAATAATTTTATGGTTGGGGGGTCACCACAACATGAGGAACTATATTAAAGGGTCGCGGCATTAGAAGGTTGAGAACCACTATGTGCCAAACTGGCCAGGGCACAGCTGAAGCTTATTTTATATTTTATTTTATTTTATTTATTTTATTTTATTTTAATCCTCACCTGAGGACATTTTTCTATGTATCTTCAAATAGAGTGGGAGGGAAGGAGAGAGAGAGAAACATCGATGTGAGAGAGACACATCGACTGGTTGCCTCCTGCACAACCCCGACCAGGGCCGGGATGAACCGCAACCAAGGTACATGCCCTTGATTGAAATCGAACCAACAACTCTTTGGTCCACAGGCTGACACTCTACTGATGAGCCAAACCGGCCAGGGCACAACCAGGGTTTTTAGAACTTCTACTATAAAAATGGGCAGAATTTTCCTTCATTATGTTGGTAGTACTCATCTGTTTTCTTGTGAAGCTGTGATACAATTCTGACCAATGCTCAGAACTCATCTCCCCTCAGTTCACAGGTGCCACTGGCAGAGCATTTCTTGTTAACGAGGCAGTTAACCTGCAGCACAATGAAGTTCAAGACCAAGTCATGCTCACTGGCCACCACATGGTTAGAGATGTGAGCTGTAAAAACTGCAACAGCAAACTGCGATGGATCTATGAGTTTGCCACTGAAGACAGCCAGTGTAATAAGGAAGGCTGTGTGATCCTGGAACATGCTTTAGTTCGAGAGAGTGAGGGTTTTGAAGAGCATGTACCACCTGGTAACTCTTTTTTTTTTTTTCAATATTTTTTTATCCTCACCAGAGGACATTTTTTCCATTTATTGTTCAGGTAGAGTGGGAGGGAGAGAGAGGAACTGAGAGAGAGAGAGAGAGAGAAACATCGATGTGAAAGGAACACATCGAGTGGCTGCCACCCGCACAACCGACCAGGGCCGGGGACAAACTGCAACCGAGGTACGCGCCCTTAGCGGGAACCGAACCCGGGTCTCTCAGGACCGCAGGCCGACGCTCTAACCGCTGAGCCAAACCGGCCAGGGCCCACCTGGTAACTCTTGAAGAAAGAGATAACTTCATCTTTTCCCAGGTCTCCTTCACTGAAAACAAACACCTACTTACATACACTGTCACCTTAGCATCAGAGTCGGATTCACAAACTGTGGAACAAGAGGTTATGAGAATATAAGATGGAACCTTTCTTTCTTGCTTTAATTTTCTATTTTCCATGCAATAACAGAGAGAATATTATGCAGATGCTGTTAATTTTTTCTCCCATACTTTGGCATCTCGAGGCAGAATTGTCTATCTGCAGCTACATGGTGGGCCATGTAGGAAATAAAATCTGGGGTATTAGAGTGGAAAAGTGTTTTATGTAAATTTTGAAAGGAAAGTGTGTCAAGAACATGGTTTTTAAACTTATTTAGGCTTCATTTTAAAGAACTTAAAAAAGAAAGGTTATTTTACTTGATTTGCTAGCTTCAGAGAAGAGATCCAAATCTGTGACCAGCCCTAAAGGTTCAGTGTTAGTAAGGCTTGTGCAAGCCATTGTGCCATATTCTTTTTTTTCTTTATTGATTTTAGAAAGAGAGGAAGAGAGAAAGAGATAGAAACATCAAGGAGAGAGAACATCGACTGGCCCCCTCCTGCATGCCCCCCACTGGGGAATGGGCCCACAACCTGGGCATGTGCCCTGACTGGGAATCGAACCAGCAACCTCTTGGTGCATGGCTTGACATTCAACCACTCAGCCACACCAGCTGAGCTGTGCCATATTCTTGTTGGAGATAAACTGTAGCACTATAGCCCATTCTTCCTTGTCAGTCTTGACCCAAAGATGTCACCTTCCCTAGTTATGTGTCACTACATAATTGGTGCTGATTGGAAACTTTTCCTGAAATGGGACTGAACTGCTTGGTGTCCTTTCCATGTAACTTAAGCAGAGTAATATAAATAAAGTAATAGTTTAATATTAGAAAGAAAAGAGGTTAAGTAATTTGCCTAAGTTTACAAAAATAGTAAGAGGGAAAGGCAGGATTCAAACCCAGGCAAATCTTACTCTTCAATTAATATTTAATGAATGAAGTTATATATTTAACACTAAAAGATGTTTACATCAGTCTGGCCGGTGTGGTTCAGTGGTTGAGTATTGACCCATGCACCAAGAGGTCGCCAGTTCGATTCCAGGTCAGGACACATGCCCAGGTTGCAGGCCAATCCCCAGTGGGGGGCATGCAAGAGGTGGCCAATCAATTGGTTCTCTCTCATCAATGTTTCTATCTCTCTCTCTCCCTCTCACTTCTTCTCTAAAATCAATAAAGAAAAAATTATTTAAAAAAGATGTTTACATCATAGACTACAAAATGAAGGTTGTAAGACAGGATGTACAATGAGATCCCTTTCTGCACACCCACTCACATAAATGTTTACACAGGTTTAGGAAAAAAGTTTGAAAAGATCAAAATGTAACAGTAGTCAATTGTAGGAGCCTTTTTTTGTCTTTATACTTCGTGAATTAAAAACTTTTCAGAATAAGTGTATTTTACTTTCACAATAAAGGGGGAAAATATGTTAAAAAGCCAAATAATAATACAAAATTAAAAAGCACACAAAGACCTCAAATGACTTCCAATGAATCCAAGTATACATTGGCTCAGCATGGCTCTCTCAGGGTCCCCAATCATTCAATTCAACTATCATGCTATGGTTCTCTAGTCCACTCTTCTTCCTCTGTCTTTCCTACCTTTAGCTTCCAAATTAATCTTCCTAAAATACTGTGATCCTCTTGTAATTCTACTGCTTAAACTTCCAATGATTCCTTATTTTCTACAGAAGAAAGTAGAAATTCCTCAGCCTGGAATTCAAAGCCTTCCAAAATCATAACATTCAATTGAATTTTTAAAAAAATTCTCACCTGAGGATATGTTTTTTAAAAACTGATTTTAGAGAGAGAGGATGGCAGGGAAGATGGGGGTAGAGAGAGAGAAACAGCAATTGGTTTGCCTCCCATGCACGCCCCAACTGGGGATCAAACTGCAATCTAGGTATGTGCCCTGACCAGGAACTGAACCTGCAAACTTTTGGAGAGGATAACGCTCCAACCAACTGAACCACCAAGCCAGGGCTGGATCTTTAAAAAAATTTTTTAAATCACCTTAGTTTTTAAACTATCTTTCTAAGTTGTGACTGCTTCAGAAGATAATTTGTCAACATTTTTACCAAACAATTAAAAAAAAAAAATACCCCTCTTATAAAATGGTACAACTACACTTTAGGGAACCAGAAGATACTTAATACATTTGGCTATACTACTAAAAGGTCAGTTTTCCAACAGAATAGGGCATATTTACCTTCCAACTAACTACAGAAACAGAAAGCATAACAGAAATATGACTACTTGCTGTTCTTTTTCTATGTATGTTACCTACAGCTTTCCATAACTTGTTCATGCAGTTAACTCTGCCTAGCATGTGCTCTCCATTTTCTACCCAAGGCTTTTAACTTATAAACCATCTTCTCCATGAAGCATTTGCTAATTTCTATTAGCCACTCTGAGAATCCATGGCTCTTTTATCTGACTCTTCAGGCATTTATTTTCTTATTTTTTAATATTCTGTCTTCCCTTACAATGACTTATATGAGATAGGATCTTTACCTTATTCATCTTTGTATTCTTCTTACTAAATACTCATTGAATGAAAGTAATTAATCAACAAAATAGAAAACTCACAGAATTCAATACTATTATGTCTAGGTATTTTCAAAGTGGCAGTAAGAGTTCTCTTTCTCTAAACATAGATAGGAAACATAAATTGTTAACAAGCACAGGCAGGTCCTTACTCTTCAGGTCTCTGACCTAATTAAGTGATTTATGAACCTCATGAAGTACAGATTTCACACAAACTCTAAATTATTCTGTGAACTGATGATGTATTTTGGTCTTCAGCAGTTTGGTCAGCATGAACCTTACTTTTCCTACATAAAGGGAATTTAAGCTTTATTCTCTGGGAAAGGGACAGAGTTGTAGGACTGAATGTTCTTCCTTACCTTTTCGTATTGTGCACTGTGGTTCCTCCCAGGACAATCCTCACTCCAAGAGTGGTACGGTTCAGGTTATAAACTGTTAGAGCTTCTTCATAGGTGGCTCCTCCAATTACAAACACAATAATATCCTGAGGTCTGCAATGATGAAGACATTTAATATTACAGAATAAGGGGGGGAAAGGCAAATATTTGTTGTTACTATCAAATACAAAGTTTTAATTTCTGAATCTTTCCTTTTTGGTGGAGGAAGAGTAATTAAAGCAGAACAGAATAAAAGGTCTAAAAAAAGTTTTAATTATCTGCAATTGGCAGGAAACAGCAAGAAATGCTGAATAGTGATTTGCTTTCTGTTTATAAGCGGATGTCTTATAATTTCTGTGCTGTGGATTTCAGAATAGCACAATAGTGTTGCTGGAACCAAATGGAGAAATATTCTTTTACATTCAAGAGGCTGCAGAGTACTTCACTGTGACATGCTATCAATACAGCAGTAATTTATGCTTGTACTACACATTTCACGATAAGACCTTTGTCAAATATCTAGTATAGTGTCATTACAATGGCCTCTGTCCAAGGACCTCAAAGTGTTTGGGAAGTACTGGTATATTTGGATGGCCCATAACATGGGAACTAGAAACATTTAGTATTTTGACTGTAAAAAAAAAGAATTAATGACGCTTCTAGGAATTCCACCTCGTTTAAAAATCTTTGTTCCTGAATCTTTTGATAAACCAAGAAAAAGAAACCATAGAAACAAACAACCAAAAAAACCCCGTGACTTTCCTTTTGATACTAGACATGCTGACACATCAGCCCAGTCACTAGCCTCAATTGGATAGTGCTGTGTAGTTTTATGTGTTTCCATCTTTATTAAAATGGCTTCATAACAAAAGTGAGGGGTCCTCCTATTAGCTCCTTCTGTAGATATCAACAAGAAGAAGATGACATTATTTTCAAAACTGTTAAAGTTTGCCTTGTTTTTCTTTCCTCATGCCATCAAAAGAAGATACAATTACTTAACCTTAGTAAGCAATTAATTTTGTTAAATCGCTTACTGGACATTATTTAAAACTACATACACCAAGCAGAGGCATCCATTTTGGAGGTTACACCACAAAACAAAATAGAAACATCTTTAATGAAAGGATATACATGCTTATGATAAATCATGTTTGTCTACATTTCCTTTCTGTTTATCTGTCTCTTCCCCCCCCCAAAAAAAACCTTGGAGGAATTAACCAAGAGAGTATTTCTTCTTCTTGGATTTCTTGGGAACGGAATCAGATACTGTGTCTAATTAAAAATGTTCAGATAATCTCCGAATTGCAGATACCAAATGAAAGGCTCCCCAAAACAGAAAAGATAGTATTTTGCAATTAATTAGATAGATTCAATTATGACATTTCTATGTGAACCTGGAACTTAAAATCATACCTGTGAAACACTAAATATACTTTAAAAAAAGACAAAATAAGCTTTATTAAAGACTACCTACCTGAAACAATGTATTTAGTACCACAATGCTTTAAGAGTCACATACTATTTTATATGCTACAATCACTTTTTTTTATTTTTAAGTATGCTGTTTTAGACTAGATAAATGTTTGCTCATGGTATACTGTAAAAAAATGTAAGTTTCTTTCTCACTTCAGTCCTCTGGTATCTGTTTCTCCCTAGAGGCAACCATTATTTCTTGTCTCTTATGTATCCTTTCAGAGATATTATC